CTGCTTGGCCTGCTGTGTTCATCCAGCCCTGCACCTTGTTGTCTCGGTCAAAATCTTCCGCTTTCCACAACCATCTTTTTTCTGTTGCCTCACACTCACTAACTCCACAACTGCAACCATCTCTCAACAAGTCCATCACTCCCGATGACACATGCAGCATGTTCTTTCTCACTGGCTCTCACTCAACTTTAACTTCCAAAGTACTAACCCCGGATGCCTTCTGCATTTCCTATTCACTGACTCAGTACTCTTCCCACCTTTCTCAGCACTAACAGTCACCTTCATCTCTTTCAATCCCTGTCCTAATTTCACTCCAAGAGAAAATGGCCCACAATAGGGCACAAACAGCCAAGACAGATTGTCAGGTGCCCAACAATGAATCGTTCACTTCCTATGAGAGAATCCTTGCCTTAATAAGAAAGGGTAGAGACAACTTGTAAAGATGCCATGACCTCCATGTACCAAATAGGATTCATTGCAAACTGCAGCACTGCTCTCATTACCACTACAAGTATTTTTTTAACATGCCAAAGCTTCAACCTTCTTTCAAAGCTCATAACCTCTTGGCTATTGTCGGCACGAACAGTATCATTATAGCCTGCACCCTGATGAGAGCAGTCCTTCTCGCAAACACAATCTCCTCCAACTTTGAGGAAGAAGACACAGACCCCTCAGAAGAAACACCAGCAAGATTTTCTCCTGTACCTTCTGTTAGCTGAAATACCAATACCTCAGTGGGTATTATAGCTAATTAAAATTTGAAGCACATTCTGGTGAGCATATCATGCCATGGCTCAGATCCTGGCTTGAGGAAAAAGCACCCAAGTCATTGGCCCTCAGGGCTATAAGAAATCAGACTCCTGCTCATCCCAGGCAGGCGAGGAACTCATAGTTTGGCCATTAATAACTTCATGAGTCTTTGTCATAATTGAAATAGGGAGCATTAGAGGCTGTGAAGGCTTCCATTGGTTTGCAAACTCATTTTATAAAGCAACAGGAAAAACAAAGAAGGTAAAACCATTAAGATACACTTTCAGCTGGGATTAAGTAGGAGTGACAGCCTCCACAACATCAGTGCATTTATAGTCAGTGAATGATAACTGTTGAAACAGTTGCCACACAAGTTCTGTTTGGTCCGCTATGACTGGAAAAGTTGCACTGTAGAATGGTGAGGGCGATGTTTTCTCCAATCGACATTCATTTCCCACTTGTTAAAATGCTGAATCCTCACAGATCTTCACTGTCCATCACAGACACACGTTGGTCGCTCCAGATAACTGGACAATGGGATGTAAGTATTAAGCAACGCTTTCTGACTGTACTGTGCTGGAACGAACGACCAGGCCTCAGCAAGCATGGGAACCTCATATAGAGGAGATATCTTATGATCGGCATTCACTCTAATTTGATTTTATCAAATTTATAGCCAACATAGCTCATCACGGCATGAGGTTCACATCCAGAACTTTGTAACAGCTCCTACCTCTAACCTGTACCGACAGAGTACAGCAATTACCCCATGACAAACTCACCAAAGCTCACTCTGCCAAATAAAAGAAAACTTACCGGCCCAGTCTGAATGCAGCACAGCCACTTTTCAATTACTGTGCACTTGCGATTCAAAGGAGGAAGATGACACAAGTGGCACTTCACAGACTGGGGTGTAGGCTCACCCTGTCAATCTTTACATTCTTTTCTGCCTTGCACTACCTTGTAAAACAAGAGTTGGTTACATGAACAGGGCCGACGGCTCAGTTATGATAAACATTATTAAGCACCGACTCCTGCATTGGAGGGTTGGTGGTGACTGATGAATCAGCCAACCACAGTACCCTCATGCCCTCCCATCTCCCACCTTTGTTCATTGAGTTGCGCTCCTTCACGATTATTATCGCCTGTGCATCCAAGCAATCTGTCGCCAATCCCCATAATTAACGTCACATTTCCTCCACAAGAGCAGTGGCCCCGATAACTCTCTTTTACGTTAATGAACAGTCCCCAGGCTTACCCCGCCGCCTCCTCAACCAACTTCAGACACCAGCCCCAATTAATGACTGGCAGATATCTATGCAAATCGCTGGCTAGCTTACCTACTAACCCCAAGACTGGGGGCACTTGACCGGTGGGACTGACAATGGGCCAATCCCCAACGTAAGGAAACAAAATCCCCGACTCTGAATGCCCTGAGGAACTGGCTGCGTCCAAAACCCTGGACTGATATCAAGAATTTACCAGACCCTCGCTGTCCTTGCAATCCATGACTGATTACAGTCACTCCTGTCCTGAACTACTCCCATTAAACTTGGAGACATGGTTGAAGCATATTCAATGCATTTGCCATGTAAACTGCGAGGCCACATTTGACTGCACGTGACATCAAACAGCAGTCAGTGGGAATGGGGGGAAAACTCTCCATTGCTTAGAGTCATACCTGGCACGTAGGAAGATAGTTGTGGTTGTTGGACATCAGTCATCTCAGCTCCAAGACATCTTGGCAGGAACTCCTCTGGGTTGGGTCATAGCTCTAACCATCTCCAGCTGCTTCAAATGATTTTACCTCCATCATAAAGGTCAGAAGTGGGAATGTTTGACAAAGATTACATAACATACAGCAACATTTGCCACTCCTCACATATTGAAGTAGTCCAATGTCCATATGCAACAAGACCTAGACAACATCGAGGCTTGGGCTGAAAAGCAGCAAGTCACATTTGTCTCACACAAATGCCAGTCAATGGCCATCTTCAATAAGGTACAATCAAAGCACTGCCTCTTGACATTCAATGGCATTACCATCACTGAATCTCCCAACATCATGGGGTTACCACTGATCAGAAGCCAAAATGGACTCACCATATAAACACAGTGGCTACAAGAGCAGATCAGGGGTTGGAACTGCAGCAAGTGGTTCACCAAAGTCTGTTCACCATCTACGTTAAGTGTGATGGAATACTCCACACTTGCCTGGAAGGGTGCAGCTCTAACAACACTCAAGAAGCTCAATACCAGTCAGGTCAATGAAATCCACTTGATTGTTTATGAAAATGGTGCTATTCTGTCAGTCCACCACCAATGCTTGGTAACAGCAGTATGTATCATCTACAAGATGCACTGCACAAATTCACCAAAGATCTTGGGACAGCACGTTCCAAACCCATGACCACATTCATCTGGAAGGGCAAGCATAGCAGATACATAGGAACACGACCCACCTGCATGTTCCGTTCCAAGCCACTCACCCTCCTGACTTGGAAATATAGCACCATTCCTTCACTGTTGCTGGGTCAAATCCTGGATTTCCCTCCCTAACAGCATTGAGAGTCTTCCTACAGCACATGGATTGTAGCGGTTCAAAATAGTAGCTCATCACTACCTACTCAAGGGCAATGAGAGACAGGCAATAAATGCTGGCATAGTTAGTGACACCCACAACTTACAAGTGAGTAAGAAACTGTGACATTAATTAGCACATTGCCACACAACATGTCCACCACCTTGGCTGTGCGCTGCCAGCAAACATGACCTTATGTACACTAAAAGGAAAGGCAAAAGTACTGTGAGCATCTAAGCTCTGAAGGAACTGTCAATGTGCATAATTGCAAGACAGAATGCAGTGAGCATCCAAGTAGATGCAAAGTGAACAAGTGCTAAGATAGCAAGCTAACAGCCCTGAAATACACCCTGTGCCGATTCATAAGATGGTTGTGTCCTTGTGTGTGAAGCAATCTGGCAGCAACATTGCAACAAAAAGTATCGACAGGCTCCAAAGTGCAATTGGAAGTGACGGATTGTGTTATAAGTGAGTCAGAAATGTGCCACCTTAAAGCTGGTGTCTGTCCAATGCCAGCCTCCATAGACAAAGGATGCAAGTGGTCGCTGTCCATGGAGCATCCACTGTGATGCAGGAACTAAGCAGGGTGACAAGGGAAAAAGAAACAAGGGCGGAAATGTAAAAAAGGACAGTAAACTGCAAAAACAGTACACAGGTAATCAACAACAAGAGGCAAATAGGGCCACAATACAAATAGAAGTTAGGGTGATCAAAAATAGCAAAAAAGCAAGTCTAAAGTTTTGTGTCTGAATAAATGAAGCATTCGGTATAAGGTAGATAAACTGAAGGCGTAAATCAAGGCAAATGGATATGATCTTGTAGTCATTATAGAGATTTGGAGGTCAAAACTGGGAACTTAACATTCAGGTACATTTGATCTTTTAGAGAGACAGGAGGAAAGGAAAAATTGGTGAGGTAGCACTCTTAATAAGAGATGAAACCAAGAGATGACCTAGGCTTGCATGATGTAGAGTCCATTTGGGTGGAATAAATAACAACAAGGAAAAGACGACATTGGTGGTAGTAGTAGTAGTGACAGACACCCAAACAGTGGCCACACTGTAGGAAATGATATGAATCAATAAATTATGAAAGCATATAAAATAAAGAGCAATAATTACGGGTGACTTAATCTTACGTTGATTGGTTCAAACAAGTCGGAAAGCATAGCAACAAAGAACTCAGAGCGCATTAGGAATAGTTGCCTCGAGGAATATGTCACAAAGGCAACCAGGGAACAGTCGATCTCCGAGCAAATTACTGCAGATGCTGGAATCTGTACTGAAAACAGCAGGTCAGGCAGCATCCATGGAGAGACAGCAACCTACCATTTTGAGTCTAGAAGACTCATCACCATCAGCTCTGATGAAGAGTCATCCAGATTTGAAACGTTAGGTTGCTCTCTCTCCATGGATGCTGCCTGACCTGCTACGATCTCCAGCATTTTTGTTTTCAGAACAGACTATCCAGAATCTTGTAAAGGGTAATGAGGCAGGTTCAATAAATGACCTCTGACTACAAGGTCCCCTAGGAAGTAGTGATCATAACTTGCTGGAATTTAATATTCAGTTTCACTGGGTCAGAAGAAAGTGGGGTTGGAAACAACAGTGCTTAACAAATAAAGGGAAATACAATGAAATGTATTAGCTAAAATGAACTGAGCAGATAGATTAGCAGCAAAGATAGTAAGCAACCAGTGGCAGAAATGCAAGGAGGTCATTCATGAATCACAGCAAAAATATATCCCATTAAGGAGAAAATATTTTGAGAGAGGGATAAACCAACCATGGCCAACCAGGGAAGTTAAGGAAACTATAAAGCTGAAAGAAAAAATACAAGGCAAAGTCACTGACAGCCCCAAAGACTTGGATAAATTCAGAATCCAGCATATGAGGACCTAAAAAGGCAATAGAGAAAATAAACTACAATGGAAAACTAGTGAAGAATATAAAAACTGACAGTAAGAGCTTCTTTAAATATATTAAATGGAAGGTGGGGAGGGGGTGAAATTGAACATATGCCCCCTCAAGATTGAATCTAGGAAGATAGTTATGGAGAACAAGGAAATGGCAGAGGAGTTACAGATATTTTGCATCAGTCTTTACAGTGGAAGATACTTCGAACATCCCATTAATTCTAAAAGGTACAGGGGAGGAATTAAGCACTACCAACATCACTAGACTCCTAAGTATGAGACAAACTAATAGTGCTGAAGACAGACAAGTCCCCTGGCCCTGGCAGTTTGCATCCAAAGATCCTATGAGAAGTAGGCAGAGATAGTGGACGTATTTGTTGTAATGTTGCAAAAAAAAATCATTGGATTCTGGAGAAGTACCAGAGTTTGGAAAACTGCCAATGTGAGACCCCTATTCAAAAAGGGAAGCAAAAAACAGGGAACGAAAAGCTGATTAATGTAACACTATTGTTGAAAGATGTTGGTACCAATTAGTGAAGTTATAGCAGCATATTTGGAAAACCATAATCTAATCAAGCAAAGTCAGCACGGCTTCATGAAAAAGGGAAATTGCATCTGACTAATTTATTCGAGTTTTTTGAGGAATCTCAGCCAGAGTGGATAGAGTGGAACCAGTAGATGCATTGCAATTGGACTCCCAGAAGGCACTTCACAGAGTACCTCACAAAGGGTTAAGTCATAAGATAAGAGCCCATGGCATTGGAGGCAATCTATTAGCATGGACAAAAAATTGGCTAATGGCAGGAAACAGTAAGCAGGGATAAGGTATTCTTTTTCAGCTTGATGACCTGGAACTAGTGGGGTTAAATAGGGATCAGTGCTCAGACTGCTACTGCTTATTATACATAATGACTTGAAGGAAGAAACAGAATGTACAACAACAACAACAACATTTAAAAGGCATCTGGACAAGTACATGAATAGGAAGCATTGAGAGGGACGTGGGCCAAATTCTAGCAAATGGGACTAGATTAATTTAGGATATCTGGTCAGCATGGACGAGTTGGACCAAAGGGTCTGTTTCCATGCTCTGTACCTCTGTGACTCTACCGTAGCTGAACATGCAGCTGCAATACAAAAATAGGTGGAAAGGCAAGTTGTGAAGGGAGTACAAACGGTTTACAGAGAGATAGTGATTGTTTAAGTCAGTGGGCAAAAAATTAGCAAATGCAGTATAATGTGGGAAATTGTGAAGTTCATTTTGGAAGGGTGAACAAAACAATAGTATTATTTAAATGGCAAAAAGCTGTAGAAAACTGCAACACCAAGGGATTTGAGTGTACTTATGCACCAGAGAAAACTAGCACATAGGTGCAGCAGGTAATCAAGAAGGCTAATGGAATGTTGGTCCTTATTTTAAGAACATAAAAGTAGGGAAGTCTTACTGCAACTGCACAAAGTGCTCGTGAGATGACATCAGGAATACCGTGAGCAGTTCTGGCTCCCTTAAAGAAAGATATTTCACTGGAAGCAATTCAGAGAAGGTTTATTAGGATAATCACTAATATGAAGGTATTGTCTTATGAGTAATGGTTAAGCAGATCAGGACTTTACCCATTTGAATTTAGAAGAATGAGAGGTAATCGCATTAAAAATGCTATATGTTTCAAAGAGCTTAACAGGGTAAATGCTCAGAGGATGCTTCATCTCATGGAAGAGTCTAAAACCAGAGGGCATAGTATCAGAATAAAGACACACCAATTTAAGACTGAGGTAAGAAAATTTTCTCTGAGGATCATATCTTTGAAACTCCTTGCCACGGAGAGTTGTGACAGTGGAGTCCTTGTGCATACTTAAGGCTGAGATAGGAAACTTCTTGATCACCAGGGGAATCAAGAGTTAAGGAGAAAAGGCAAGAAAGAGGACATCAGATCCAGCCATAATCCTACTGACTGGCAGAGCAGGCTTGTGGGACCAAATGGTCTACCTCCTGTTCCTATTTCTTACGTTCTAGAAATTTCACCATCCAGTTTCTGTTCACTGCCCGGCAAAACAGCAAGCTGCATATAAACGAAGCAAAATTAAGTAATGAAATATTAACGTACACAAATAAGCTCCTTGCCACTCACTAACGAGATTTTCAAATTCATTGAAACCTTATTCACAAAATTGAACACTTTTGCTCGGCATCAAGAATCGCTTTCTCATTCTCACTGTATTTTCCAAATTGTCTGGCCATGGCCTATATCAATCAGGGTCTGGGAAAACTCCATCTATTGTTTCAAACACCTGAATATGAAAACCAGCAATTAAGCAACCTAAAATAGAAAAATGTGATAAGTCCAAGAACACATGCATATTTTTTAAAAGTCTAATCGGCTGAATTCTACCAATCAAAGACCCATATTGTTTCTTATTTTATAAGAAGTAAATATTCCCTACAACGAAATTATACACATGCAGTTAATGCAGAACTGTAAACCTTTCTTTTACACTGTTATTTCAGATTTAAAAAAATCAAATTTAACTAAATTACATTGAACTAGTTATTATGAAATATGTGACGAAATGATCAGTTCTTCCAAATTAGTCCATTTTCAGGAAACCACCTCACTTTTCCTTAGCAGATCAACATTTATTTTTTAAGATTGTAGAAATGTGTGCCTTTCCATGTCAGAATCAAACAGGCACACTTATCTTTGTATAACAAGTAACATACACATTATTTGTAGAACATAATCCTTACCTTTCACATTGCTTGCAGAAATGAACATTTACTTGTTTTGGGATTCCTTCTGTGATGTCAACTTGTGCTCGCAAGCAGGCAACACACATATTTGCAGGATTTGGAGAGATCGGAATACCACACTGGCAACAGAGGCTGAGAATAGAAGCAAACCAAATGAATTTGACTGTATATAAAAAATTACAGTCAGCTTGATAAATACAATCTATTCAAAAGATATTCTGATATCACAGTATATTATCTTGTATCCTGCAAAGCAAGCAAACAAAAGATTGTGACTTGAATCTAGAGAGACCAGTTATTTGCAGTACTGATCATCTTAATTTACCCCCATCGTGCAGCTCTTGTGGCAGAGCGGAGGCGCCCCTACCTCTGAGCCAGAAGGCCTGGTTTCAAAAAACACCTGTATAACATCATCTCCGGACAAGTTAATTAGAATATATCTACACCCCCCCCATTGTTTATAAATTGGAGGATAAGAATAGTTCTTATAAAAGTAGTCTTTTCACTTTTAATATAACACTCATATTCTCAAAAATCGAAAATTATGCCAGGGGAGCAGAAAATTATTCCTAATCAACTCCACTTCGACATTTTACAATTTAATAGTTATCTCTAACCAAGAGTATTCAACAGGACATGAAGTCATAATAAGGCTAAGGGATACCCACAAAATTAAACATGAGCTCACGGAGTTCGCTATCTAGAGATCTGTAACTTCAAAATCATCGACGTTCACGACAATAGTGTAAATGTCATTCATTCTATTGTTCTGGAACTCATTCCATAAGAAATTAATATCTACATGGCTTCATAAAGATCTTGTAAAATATAGGAGGCATTTGATACATTACTTCACTGCCAGCTCCTTGTTAGAGCTAATCAATTTACGTCAATTCCACACTCTTCTCTCCATTTTTCCCCTCCCCACCATAGAATCCCAGAACTAACTGTCTCATCAAGTACTTAGATAAATCTCTTTGGAATAGTAATGAATCCGCTTCTCCCATTGCCTTTCTCATAACTGATTCCAAATGACAATAACTCAGCCTGAAAACAAACACTTTCACATTGGGGAAGAAAAAGAGGAATCATGAATCACTGTCCTCTCGTTACCACCCTTCCACCGCTGGAGAAAGTTTCTCCCTATTAACTATCACAATCCTGAACAAATATCAAATCTCCTCTTAAACTGCCCTGCACCAAGGAGAACTATCCCAGCTTTTCAAGATGCCATTATAGTAAATTGATGTCTGGAAACTTCCTGAAGTATGGTATCCAGAATTGAGAACAATCCAGAGGTCCAACCAGCAACTTTTATAGGTTTAGAGTAAGTTAATTTCTTTTGTACTCTATTAACAAGGTCATTTTTAAAAAACATGCCTTCCCAATTTGCCTCACCATCTTCAAATATCACTCTTCCTGCACCCCCTTTAAAATTATACTATTTAGTTCACATTCGAATAAAATGAATCATTTATCTTCATTAATTCTCATTTGTTACCTATCTGTCCTTTCACCAGTCTACCTCTTCTGAGATAGCAAGAACTGCTGGAGTCAGAGATAACACAGCATAGAGCTGGAAGAACACAGCCGGCCAGGCAGCATCAGAGGAGCAGGAAAGTTGACACTTCGGGTCAGGACTCTTCTTCAGAACCTCTTCCTGAGGCGTGTTGCTATCCCTATCATCACTACATTTCAGAATTTGATGCCACCTTCATTTTTTAAGGTATGCCCTATATACCCAAGGCCAGGTCACTTACACAAAATCAAAAACAGCAATGGTAATAACATGAACCCCTAGGAAGGACCACTTCATTCAAAGCTCCAGTCTGAAAATCAATTGTTGACGACCGAAAGGAAGAGAGGCTACAGTACTGATCATGCAGAATATTACAGTGCTAAACAGTCGTTCTGGAGAGCTAAAGGCAAAACAATTTAGCTAGAGCTTAATAAACAACAATTACCATTACACTGAAGCACGTATTCTATGGACCACCAACTAACAGAAAAGATACAGAAGAGTAAATTTGCAGTGAACTCTGAAGAGGTGCATGAACTACTGAATAGTAATAATGTGGGGATTTCCATTATTCGTTTGGGATAACAATAGTGTAAAAGAGCAGATCAGCGAAGGAGTTCTGACATACGTTCAGGAGAGCATTCTGAAGTAGCACATTTCCAGTCCCACAAGGGGGAAAGCATTGCCATACCGGGTTCTGGGGAGTGAGATGTGTCCAGTGTACCAAATTTCAGTAGGAGAACACTTTTAGAACCATTGAAAAATGCCATATCTATTGCCTCAAAAGAGAGAGTTTCTGCCACTAAAGGTCCTTTTTACTACATTTCCACCCTTTACCTCGAGAAGCTAGATGGTCATTTTAGCTTCTCAAGCAAAAGGTTAACATTTATCTCCCTACCCAAAAGAAAAGTTATAAATCCAATTGCAACTTGAGAACCCATGGAGATTTCCGTAAGAAGCATCGCTAAAAACAATAAGTTTCACAATCTTGGTATTTCCCAATTGATGGAAATTTCAAAAATACATTGCTCAACTCAACGACTTCTAAACTGGCATCAGGACTCGGTCAGGTGTCGGCCAATTGAGCGTCCTATTAGACTTCACAGTTCCTCCATTTCAGTTTTGAAAGCTGCTGTATCTTTTGAGAGACCCTACTCGAAAAGCAAGGGGTTAACCTTTGCTAGATTGCAACAGGTGCAAAGTGACACTCGATCCATTTTGATATCCAGTTCAACATATTTAAAAGCCCCACAAGCGTGACTTCCAATTGTAAATTCTGCTTCAAGCAATTTGTGACAAACTTCACTGCTCCCACCTCACAAATAATTAACTATGTACATCATAAAGATGACTGAAATCTGCCCTCCAGGGTATAACACGGCAGGTCTTCACTGAATTGCAGACAAGCCAATTTTAATACGAGAGACCTTATTAAATAGCAAACTCTAGAGGCATCAGTTAGGCCATAAACATATTTAATTTTCACAATGTCCTCACTGCATTCAGCACCTCTTTTGAGGCCAAGAAACATTTCCCTTGAGCTGATTTCCTTGTAGAAATGCAGTAGTATATTTATCTACACTCCCAAGCAACTGTTGCTAACAAAGCCAAAACAAATCTTCAAAAATTGCTTTTCCTACTGCACACAAATCTACTGTTATATCCTGGCCCACAGTATTTCTTTAAAACCTCATGCTACTATTCTTGCTTTAACCTAACAAGTCCCATCAGGGAATATCTTCGCATGCTTAGGGCCCAACTAGAGGCCACTTTGTTAAAAGCAAAATATACCAAGCCAGAGGTAGTAAAAACTGCCGATGCTGGAGTCAGAGATAACATATGTGGAGCTGGAAGAGCATAGCAGGCCAGGCAGCATCAGAGGAGCAGGAAAGTTGACGTTTCGGGTAGGGACCCTTCTTCAGAATTGGGGGAGGGGGAAGGGAGCTCTGAAATAAAGAGCGAGAGGAGGGGTGGGGCTGGAGAAGGTAGGTGGGATGGTGATAGCTAAGTGCACGTAGGCAGTGGTGGGGATTGGTCAGTGAGGTGGGAGGTGCAGATAGGTGGGAGAGAAGATGGACAGTTGGGTTATTGAAGGAGAAGTTGTTATGGGTAAGGACAAGTTGAAGGAGAAGTTATTAAGCCCTCCACTTCTTCCTCTCCCGCAGGCTCAACCAGTTCCCCTCCATCGACACCCTCATCCTCTTAACCGAACTCATCCTTAACCTTAACAACTTCTCTTCCAATTCCTCCCACTTCCTACAGACTAAGGGATGGCCATGGGAAGCCGCATGGGCCCAAGCTATGCTTGTCTCTTCGTAGGATATGTGGAACAGTCCCTCTTCCGCAGCTACACTGGCGTTATCCCCTACCTCTTTGTCTGCTACATCGATGACTGTATTGGTGCTGCCTTGAGCTCCCACGAGGAGCTTGAACAGTTCATCAACTTTACTGACACTTTTCGACCCAACCTCTGATACCTCTCTCTCCTTCCTGGACCTCTCTGTGTCCATCTCTGGCAACTGCCTCGAAAGTGATATCTATTTCAAGCCCACTGACTCCCAAAGCTACCTAGACTACACCTGCTGTCACCCACCTTCCTGCAAGAATGCGATCCTCTACTCACAATTCCTCCGACTCCACCGTGTCTGCTCCCGAGATAGGGCATTCCATTCCTGAACATCCCAGATGTCCTCTTATTTCAAGGACCGCAACGTACCCCACTTCGGTGGTCGAAAATGCTCTTGACCGCATCTCTTGCATTTACCGCACCTCTGCTCTCACATCCCCTCCCCCCAACAAAAACAAAGACAGAATCCCCCTTGTCCTCACGTATCACCCCACTAACCTCCGGATTCAAGGTTTCATTCTCCACCACTTCCGCCAGCTTCAATCTGACCCCACAACCGAAGATATATTTCCTTCCTCACCCCTATCTACCTTCCATAGGGACCGAGCTCTCCGCAACTCCCTCGTCCGCTCCACTAGCCCCACCACCCCCGGCACCTTTCCCTGCAACCGCAGGAAGTTCTACACCTGCCCCTACACCTTCCCCCTCACCTCCATCCAAGGAACCAAAAAAAACCTTTCACATCAGACAGAGGTTCACCTGAACATCCGCCAATGTGGCCTATTGCATCCGCTGCTCCCAACGCGGCCTCCTCTCCGTTGGTGAGACCAAGCGGAGGCTCGGAGACCACTTTGTAGAGCACCTGCGCGCTGTTCGTGACAAATGACAACGCCTTCCAGTCGCAAACCATTTCAACTCTGCCTCCGCAATCCCCCCCACCTCCCAACTCCCTGGGCGACATGTCTATCCTGGGCCTCCTCCAGTGTCACAATGACACCACCAGAAACTGGAGGAGCAGCACCTCATATTCCACCTAGGGAACCTACAACCCAATGGTCTCAAATGTGGACTTTACCAGTTTCAAAATTTCGCCACCCCTGGCCTCATCCCATGACCAACCCTCCCTCTCATCCCCATCTCCTTGACCTGAAACAACCTGTCCTTCTTCTCTGTCACCTTTCCACTCCTCCCACCTCACTAACCAATCCCCACCACTGCCTACTTGCACTCACCTATCACCATCCCACCTACCTTCCCCAACCCCAC